CTCGCCAACTGCGGCTGCTGCTCATACCTTACTTCCCCAATTAGGGAGAGGAACAAAAGGCGAAACTCTCATATTGCAACTGAACTATAAGAAGTCAACACGTTTGAAGGTTGGGTATTGCAGAACTGAGATACTCCCTTCTGATTTTCAATTGAAGCAGTGGCTTGAGGACATTGGCCGTGAAGCCGAATATACCTTCTTTCGCCGGGTCCCTGCCAAAAAGAAAGTGCAAGAAGCCATCGCGGCTCGTGTTTACGTTCTTGATATCCGCAGTTCGCGGAACGAACTCATAGAGCCGGTCCAAGGCGCGGGATGTCACCACAAACCACCAAGCCACGAACGGGCCGAGGAACAAAGCGAAAATCTGGTTCACGGTGTATGAAACCTCCACATACTCGTTGACACACTGCTGCCAGTGCCGATGATAAAGCAAATCCCTGCTCAAGAGACAGATATCGCCTCCCACGCAGACACCCAGAATCCACCAGTTGCGGTAGTAAAAAGCCACGATGGTACCACCGAGTGTAATCAGGAGCCAGAGAGACTGAATCTCTTCTATGAAACCAGAGTGGTCTTTATCCGCAAGGATGTCCATGCACCAATCTAAACCGAAGCCAACGGAGAGCCAGAATGCAAACCGAAGGGTATCCCTGATGGCTGCCCATGAACACATCCTGGGTATGAGGGGGTTTCTTAGATTTCATAACGGCTTTTCACGGCTTTGCTGGGTTCGAATGGCCCTACTGAGTTATCCTTGGGTACCAAAACATGAGCAAAGCAGATTATTTACTGTGTATTCCTACGGCCTACGGCTACCCTAAACCCTAAACCCTAAACCCGTCAATAAGTGTAGTTTCTCAACAAGAACCCAGCATCTCTTGCCGGAAGTGAGCACGTTCCAAATCGAGCTTCCAAAAACGGGAAGAGTTCTCGTCATCCTGGGTTTTTCGCTCGGTGAAATACCATCACTAATCAAGTCTGATAACAATGGCGGCAAACATGCCACCCCCTCTAATGCCAACCCTAAACCCACCCTAATCCCTAAACCCTAATCCCTCCCCCAAGCATTTGCAGACAGCACCAAAGCCACAAGGAAACACCACTTGAAGGTCCAGGTTTCATGTTCAAACTCTCGAAATGTTTAGACTTAGGCTTTGGGACTGTCGGGTTGAGTTATAGGTTTAGGGATTGGGGTTCGGGTTTATGGATTAGGGTTTGTGGATTAGGGTTTAGGGCTTAGTTTAGGGTGTAGGTAAGGGCTTAGTTCAAAAGCCTGAACCAGCCTGAACCTACTTTTTTGTAGGGTCCCTATAAATCCCATATTAGGGTTTATAATAAGAACCTACCACAAAAGTGGGTTTTGGTAGGTTAAGGAAAAGTCTGAACCAGCCTGAACCCTGACCTTCTTGCGAAGCTGCGTCCTCGGCTTCTGAGGTGATCCCATTCAGCGGCGAGGCATATTCCAATTCGCGCTGCGCCATTATCGGATCTAAAACTAACAGCTTCTCGGGCGCACGGGCAGCCAAAACTAAAACGGCCCCCTCCTTGCAAGGCGGGTTTTAGAGTTCAGGGATGCCTAAGCTTTAGAGTTATCCTCCGAAGTTCATGCATTTTAAGCCTGTCTGGTAAGATTACATAAGATGTACCCGGTCACCGGAACCCTTAACCGCTAAACCCCTAAACCCTAAACAGTGGTGCATTGCTGGGCACTGTCATCGGCTTTCCAGATTGAGGATTTCGGGATGGCAGGCCTCAGGTCCATTTCGATTTCCAGCTCAGATGTTAATTAAATGCTGGTGTTGTACATCTATATATATATATATATATATCTATATAGATAGATCGAGATATGTGTATGTAAATATATATATATATATACACATACACATATCTGTACATATATATATATATATATATGGGAGCCAGTCTGGAGGATTCCAGGTCTTTTGCCTGGCAAAAATCGCACCGTTGCACAAGAGGCTCGAGCCAAGAACCAAGTGATGAGAATAAAGTAACATTGGGCATAGGGTTTAGGGTTGGGTGATATATCCACACCGGAAACATCTCTAGCATCGTCGTGATAACCGGGGTGTATGCAACTAGGCGGGAAGCTTGAAGGGTCAGAGGGTGTGTGAGGATTGGGGGTGGACCACCCATAGTCTCCATTCTAGTTCTTTTTTGGGGATACCTTATAAAACCATTAATAGAAAATGTGTTAAACTAAATTAAAGGACCGGATAACCCCA